TCTCTTATTTTTTTTTTGCAATTTTTAACACAAACACACACCAAATCAGATCTCAAATCTGGAATGTCACAAGGAGTTTCAAGTTCATACAAGCTTATAACACCAAAATGAAGAAAACCTACTAGAATCAAATATAGCATGAAACACAAAAAGTGACATAATGGAAACCTAACTCTATGAACTTGTTCATGATCCAACAACAAGTATGAACTCAAATATATAAAATAAAAGCACTCAAAGGCACAAATAAAAATCAGTTTTTGGACATGACCTCAACATATATTTTTGATGATTTTCAAAGTTTCAACTAGGAAATAGAGACATCAAAAGGACTAAACATGACTCTAGACAACATGGATGGATTCAAAAATAAAAATGACACAAAATAAGCATATAAGACCAAACAAAACAGCAAGGAATGGCTCAAAAAAAAAAAAGGCACAAAAAAAGTAGCCAAAACTACCAAAAACGAACTTCAAAAATGCTAATGACAACATCTTGATAGCTTTGACCTTTGCTAAGTGTTTTACTTTCTGCACAGAACTCCAAATGAAGTGATTCTTTTTTTTTTGGAAACTAGACTCAAAGGTCTTTCATTTGAATATTTTTAAGTATTTTTTGGATAATTGAGCTAGATGCAGTTTAAGTTTGAAAATCGTCACAGTTTGCTGCTAGAACAAATTATAGATGGAAAAAAAAAACACAACAAGACAAATAGGGAAATAACATCAACAACATGGAACAATAAAGGATAGATAAGGACCAAAAGACTTAGATCTTGAAGAACCAAAGCTCTTGATACCAGATGATGGAAAACCTCCTTGGCTAGGTTGGGCCAAAGCTAGGAGATGTGCATGGAGGGGTGTTCCTTGGATGAATGGTGCAGAAATGTGGTGGTAAATGGTCCAAGGATGAGGAGATAATGTATGAATGGTGTAGAATCTCAAAGCCTCTAGGAGATATGGTGGTGGTGGTGTAGTGTTTGATGGCTCCAAGAGAGGTTAGGCCAACTCAAGGAGGAAGGTGACTAGAGGGACCTTATGGGTTGCTCTAGTCTTGATCTAAGATGAGTAGTATGGCCAAAAATAGGCAGCATAACATTACTCAAAATCAAAGATGAAATACAAGGGTGGAGACAACTCTATTTATAGGCCAAGGGTGTCTCCTTCTAACCCTAAAAGCATGATCTCCCACCTTTGCTCTCATTGACAAAAAAATGAGGCCTTCTAAGGAGTGGACAAGTGTCCACAAATCCTCTCTAATGATGGGAGGACATGTGGCCACTCACAAAACATAATCATCTTCATTCCTAGAGTGCCATGTGGCCACTACTAAAAGCAAAAACTCTTCACTCATAAGGTGCCATGTGGCTACCTTTTAAAAAGTAAATCCTCTCCAATGGAAGCATGATACATGGCACATATTTTCCACTTTTTTTTGATTTCTAACTTTTAAGGAAAATCTTATGTTACTTATGCCTTAATATAATCCTTAAACAAACCTACACTACATGGCCTAATACAATGGCCTAAATTCCTACACTACTCTTCAATCCATGCTCCATGATGGCTCCAAAGGTGGCCCATAAGGTAGAGTTGGTGTCATCTTCATGGATGGCTTCCACTCTCTTGAAAGTGCTTGACCATGGCTAGGGGATTTGCCATCAGTCCCTCCCTCTTGAAAAGGATTTGCCCTCAAATCTTCAACATGGAACAAGGCAAACTTCCTTATCTTCTTTGGAGTTTTGTGTGCTTCTCCACCAAGGTCAAATACCCATTTTATAACAAAAGTTAGAACAAATGTTATAATAGTGAGTAAATGAAGAATATAGCTCCCAATAATTATACACCTTAAATCAAATGATTGATCAAGGTCTTGAAGAGTAAGAGCATCTTTGAAGCTTTTATTTGTCTTATGTTGGATGTATATGTTTAAAAGACTATCCATTCCAACACAAGACTTAATTTTTTTTAGGGATATGTCATCAATCTCAAGAACTTCATTTGCCTTTATATCCTTGATAACCAATAACTTGTTCTTGAATTTCACTGGTTTGCCAAGGTAGGGTTCATTATTTTCAATTGACAGAGTCATGGTGAACGAGTTTTTCTTCCTTATCGCCATCATCTTCCTTCAGCCTTGGAAAGCAACAACTATGATTCCTCTTGACCGTCTTGGCAGCTTTATCAGGTAGACCTGTCACTGATAGAACTACGTCGTTAGCTTTAGGACTAGTCTTTGTTACTTGTATTGGCTGCCCAGCTTCAAAGACATTGAAAGTCACCTCTTCATCTTGGTCTTTCAACATTATAACTCCATCATCCACATGAATGACAACCTTAGTTGTCTTCATGAATGGCCTTCCAAGGATGAGCGATATCTCTACATTTTTCTCCATCTCCATCACTACAAAGTCCACCAGAAATTTGAAATTATCAATTTTCACCACCACGTCTTCTACCACACCATAAGGATGCTTAATGGACCTGTCTGCCATTTGCCAGATTGCTTTTGTAGGTTTAACCTCCAGACCACCAATCTTCTTAAGCATAAATAAGGGCATTAGATTGATACTAGCTCCTAAGTCAACTAGATCCTTCCTTATATCATGATTCCTAATGGTGCAAGGGATGGTGAAACTCCCCGGATCTTTGAATTTGGGAGGTAGCGTCTTCTGCAATATGGCACTGCAATTACCATGCACTTCAATTGTCTCCTCATCTAGATATTTCTTCTTCTTGCTGAGGATTTGCTTCATGTGCTTTGCATAAACATGAATTTGCTGCAGTGCTTCGGTCAAAGGCATAGTAATCTCCAATTGCTTGAAGATCTCCATGAAACGCCCAAATTGCTTCTCTTTTTCTTTCTTTAAAATGCTCTTTGGATAAGGAAGGGGCTTCTCAAATATTTTTTCTTTTTTCTCTCTCTTCTCTCTCCTTTTCTTTTCTCTTCTTTTCTTTTCTCTCTTCCTCTTCTTCTTTCTTTTTCTCTCCCTCATCTTGCTCCTTTTCTTTTCTCTCAACCTCACCTCTTCTCTCTTCATTCTCTTCTTTTTTTTTACTCAACTCAACTTTCTATTTTCTCTCATCTAAAATCTTGCCTCTTCTAGTCATAATGGCATTGCACTCCTCCTTAGGGTTAACTTCAGTATTAGCCCCAAAACTCCGGTCAGGCATCTCCTCCAACTTCTTAGCCAGTTGGCCCACCTGCATCTCCAAATTCCTTATAGTAGCTTCAGTTCTCTTATGGTTGGAGATAGTCACCTGCATAAATTGTTGAAGGGTTTCTTCAAGCTTTGAAGTTCTGTCAGATAACGCAGATATATGTTGCCATTGTGATTGCTGTTGCGGTGGTCTATTGAATTGTCCTGCTTGCCCAGATTCCCAAATTGACCTTGACCCATACTTGGGTGAGGTTTCCACCCTTGGTTGAAATTACCTTGGTAGAATTGATTGCTCATATAGTTGACTTCTTCTTGGGCCTCCACTGGCAAAGTACATTGACCATTGATATGATCACCACCACATAATTCACAGAGTTTCTGTTGAACTTGTGAAACATTCTGCAGCTCCTTTGGCAATTGAGAGAGTTTCTTCGTCAAATTCTCTAATTGTTGAGTAATAATTTTATTGTGTGCAAGCAGAGCATCATGAGATTGTAACTGTAGGACTCCCTTCTGCTGAGGTGGAGCTCCTCTTTCACTATGCATCTCATTGTCATTGGTAGTCATGTTATCAATCAATTCATAAGCTTCCTCTAGAGTCTTGCACTTGATATTACCTTCAGCTGAGGCATCTAGCATCAATTTGGTTTGTGAGCTAAGACCTCCAAGGAAAAGAATGATTATCGTCGCTTCGTCAAAGCCATGTGTGGGCTTCTTCCTTAGCAAACTCTTGTATCTATCCCATGCTTGACCTAAAGTTTCTTTCATGCCCTGCCTGAAAGAAGAAATTTCTTGTTTACTTTGTTGATTTTCGACTGTGCGAAGTATTTGTTCAGAAATTTTGCAACCACGACTTCCCATTCAATAAATCTATCCTCTGGGAAAGAATTCAACCATAACTTAGCATTGCCTCCCAATGAGAAAGGAAACAAACTAAGCTTTATAGCGTCATCCGACACTCCATTGATCTTCACAATATTGCAAATCTCGTTGAATGTGGTCAGATGCTCATATGGACTTTCATGAGACAATCCGTTGAATTGGTTGCTCTTCACCAATTGTATCAACGCTGATTTTACTTCCATGTTTGTAGCATTGACCCTCGACCTTGCAATGCTATTAAAATGATGAGGGCCAACAACTGCTGTGTAATCTGCCAGAGTGCGTCTGCCATTATTCTCTCCAGCCATCTTTTTAGTGCTCTGGTCAAATCCTTGCGGTGAAGGTTGTAAAAGTGTCTCTGGAGAAGGAAATAATTCTCTGGACGTTCTGTTTCTCTTTCTCCTTCTAGTCTCGTTCAATCCTTCAAGAAGAGGTTCACAGTTTTTCTTGCTTCTAGTACGAATTGTATCCTACATATACAAGAAAACAAAACCCTAGAAAATAATTATTAGCACAAAACAAAACAAAATAAAAAAAAATCAAGTCAAAGCTAATCAATAATCACACAAATAGAATAGTTAAACCACGAGTCCCCAGCAACGGCGCTAAAAACTTGTTAAGACTCCGACAAGTGTACCGAATCGTATCAAGTAATAAACATGGTAAGACCAAGTATCGTTTTCCTAGAGACTCACGGCCTAAACAGTTATGTGATTTTTTGATTAAATAAGACTTGAAAACAAAATCTTTTGGTTTAAAATGCAAATACAGAAAAGTAAATATGCATGCAACTTGATCAATTGGACAAAAGAGCATAGATGAATGGATGAATTTGATATTATGGGATGAATATGTTGTTGGGGTTAGATTTCACCTAGTTTACTCTCATGTATATACGAATTATACTTCTTCATTAATGTCAATGTCACTATCTAAAGTACTTAAAACCCAATTCCTCGGCGAAGAAAGNTTTGTACCTTTTGTCTCTTATTTTTTTTTTGCAATTTTTAACACAAACACACACCAAATCAGATCTCAAATCTGGAATGTCACAAGGAGTTTCAAGTTCATACAAGCTTATAACACCAAAATGAAGAAAACCTACTAGAATCAAATATAGCATGAAACACAAAAAGTGACATAATGGAAACCTAACTCTATGAACTTGTTCATGATCCAACAACAAGTATGAACTCAAATATATAAAATAAAAGCACTCAAAGGCACAAATAAAAATCAGTTTTTGGACATGACCTCAACATATATTTTTGATGATTTTCAAAGTTTCAACTAGGAAATAGAGACATCAAAAGGACTAAACATGACTCTAGACAACATGGATGGATTCAAAAATAAAAATGACACAAAATAAGCATATAAGACCAAACAAAACAGCAAGGAATGGCTCAAAAAAAAAAAAGGCACAAAAAAAGTAGCCAAAACTACCAAAAACGAACTTCAAAAATGCTAATGACAACATCCTGATAGCTTTGACCTTTGCTAAGTGTTTTACTTTCTGCACAGAACTCCAAATGAAGTGATTCTTTTTTTTTTGGAAACTAGACTCAAAGGTCTTTCATTTGAATATTTTTAAGTATTTTTTGGATAATTGAGCTAGATGCAGTTTAAGTTTGAAAATCGTCACAGTTTGCTGCTAGAACAAATTATAGATGGAAAAAAAAAACACAACAAGACAAATAGGGAAATAACATCAACAACATGGAACAATAAAGGATAGATAAGGACCAAAAGACTTAGATCTTGAAGAACCAAAGCTCTTGATACCAGATGATGGAAAACCTCCTTGGCTAGGTTGGGCCAAAGCTAGGAGATGTGCATGGAGGGGTGTTCCTTGGATGAATGGTGCAGAAATGTGGTGGTAAATGGTCCAAGGATGAGGAGATAATGTATGAATGGTGTAGAATCTCAAAGCCTCTAGGAGATATGGTGGTGGTGGTGTAGTGTTTGATGGCTCCAAGAGAGGTTAGGCCAACTCAAGGAGGAAGGTGACTAGAGGGACCTTATGGGTTGCTCTAGTCTTGATCTAAGATGAGTAGTATGGCCAAAAATAGGCAGCATAACATTACTCAAAATCAAAGATGAAATACAAGGGTGGAGACAACTCTATTTATAGGCCAAGGGTGTCTCCTTCTAACCCTAAAAGCATGATCTCCCACCTTTGCTCTCATTGACAAAAAAATGAGGCCTTCTAAGGAGTGGACAAGTGTCCACAAATCCTCTCTAATGATGGGAGGACATGTGGCCACTCACAAAACATAATCATCTTCATTCCTAGAGTGCCATGTGGCCACTACTAAAAGCAAAAACTCTTCACTCATAAGGTGCCATGTGGCTACCTTTTAAAAAGTAAATCCTCTCCAATGGAAGCATGACACATGGCACACACTTTCCACTTGGTTTGGATGTCTAACTTTTAAGGAAAATCTTATGCTACTTAAGCCTTAATACAAACCTTAAACAAACCTACACTACATGGCCTAATACAATGGCCTAAATTCCTACACTACTCTTCAATCCATGCTCCATGATGGCTCCAAAGGTGGCCCATAAGGTAGAGTTGGTGTCATCTTCATGGATGGCTTCCACTCTCTTGAAAGTGCTTGACCATGGCTAGGGGATTTGCCATCAGTCCCTCCCTCTTGAAAAGGATTTGCCCTCAAATCTTCAACATGGAACAAGGCAAACTTCCTTATCTTCTTTGGAGTTTTGTGTGCTTCTCCACCAAGGTCAAATACCCATTTTATAACAAAAGTTAGAACAAATGTTATAATAGTGAGTAAATGAAGAATATAGCTCCCAACAATGATACACCTTAAATCAAATGAATGATCAAGGTCTTGAAGAGTAAGAGCATCTTTGAAGCTTTTATTTGTCTTATGTTGGATGTATATGTTTAAAAGACTATCCATTCCAACACAAGACTTAATTTTTTTTAGGGATATGTCATCAATCTCAAGAACTTCATTTGCCTTTATATCCTTGATAACCAATAACTTGTTCTTGAATTTCACTGGTTTGCCAAGGTAGGGTTCATTATTTTCAATTGACAGAGTCATGGTGAACGAGTTTTTCTTCCTTATCGCCATCATCTTCCTTCAGCCTTGGAAAGCAACAACTATGATTCCTCTTGACCGTCTTGGCAGCTTTATCAGGTAGACCTGTCACTGATAGAACTACGTCGTTAGCTTTAGGACTAGTCTTTGTTACTTGTATTGGCTGCCCAGCTTCAAAGACATTGAAAGTCACCTCTTCATCTTGGTCTTTCAACATTATAACTCCATCATCCACATGAATGACAACCTTAGTTGTCTTCATGAATGGCCTTCCAAGGATGAGCGATATCTCTACATTTTTCTCCATCTCCATCACTACAAAGTCCACCAGAAATTTGAAATTATCAATTTTCACCACCACGTCTTCTACCACACCATAAGGATGCTTAATGGACCTGTCTGCCATTTGCCAGATTGCTTTTGTAGGTTTAACCTCCAGACCACCAATCTTCTTAAGCATAAATAAGGGCATTAGATTGATACTAGCTCCTAAGTCAACTAGAGCCTTCCTTATATCATGATTCCAAATGGTGCAAGGGATGGTGAAACTCCCCGGATCTTTGAATTTGGGAGGTAGCGTCTTCTGCAATATGGCACTGCAATTACCATGCACTTCAATTGTCTCCTCATCTAGATATTTCTTCTTCTTGCTGAGGATTTGCTTCATGTGCTTTGCATAAACAGGAATTTGCTGCAGTGCTTCGGTCAAAGGCATAGTAATCTCCAATTGCTTGAAGATCTCCATGAAACGCCCAAATTGCTTCTCTTTTTCTTTCTTTAAAATGCTCTTTGGATAAGGAAGGGGCTTCTCAAATATTTTTTCTTTTTTCTCTCTCTTCTCTCTCCTTTTCTTTTCTCTTCTTTTCTTTTCTCTCTTCCTCTTCTTCTTTCTTTTTCTCTCCCTCATCTTGCTCCTTTTCTTTTCTCTCAACCTCACCTCTTCTCTCTTCATTCTCTTCTTTTTTTTTACTCAACTCAACTTTCTATTTTCTCTCATCTAAAATCTTGCCTCTTCTAGTCATAATGGCATTGCACTCCTCCTTAGGGTTAACTTCAGTATTAGCCCCAAAACTCCGGTCAGGCATCTCCTCCAACTTCTTAGCCAGTTGGCCCACCTGCATCTCCAAATTCCTTATAGTAGCTTCAGTTCTCTTATGGTTGGAGATAGTCACCTGCATAAATTGTTGAAGGGTTTCTTCAAGCTTTGAAGTTCTGTCAGATAACGCAGATATATGTTGCCATTGTGATTGCTGTTGCGGTGGTCTATTGAATTGTCCTGCTTGCCCAGATTCCCAAATTGACCTTGACCCATACTTGGGTGAGGTTTCCACCCTTGGTTGAAATTACCTTGGTAGAATTGATTGCTCATATAGTTGACTTCTTCTTGGGCCTCCACTGGCAAAGCACATTGACCATTGATATGATCACCACCACATAATTCACAGAGTTTCTGTTGAACTTGTGAAACATTCTGCAGCTCCTTTGGCAATTGAGAGAGTTTCTTCGTCAAATTCTCTAATTGTTGAGTAATAATTTTATTGTGTGCAAGCAGAGCATCATGAGATTGTAACTGTAGGACTCCCTTCTGCTGAGGTGGAGCTCCTCTTTCAC